ATTCCGATAGAGGGGCAAGGGACGTAGCTCTTTTAGCAATATCCACTTGATCATGAATAAGATTAAGTGAATAACGTGAGGTTTTCCTATTAATATCTGAATATAAAAAGGACTGACAGAAAATCAGCTGTTATAATTGATCCTCTTTAACCTTACGTATTAGTGTGTCAATCTGACAATTTAATGCATGACTAATTCGGCTCTAAACAGTTAGGATATTACCTGTTGAAGCTTAAATATACTTCTTGATAAATGCGTAAGAGCCTTCGACTCGTAAAGTTACTGAATTTCCAATATAGAAGTGCTGATTTGTCTAACAGCAGATCACTTTTTCTTTATAGATTAGTCATATTTCTTTGATATATCGTAAGGCGTAGGGGGATACTGATTAATATTTCTTGTTAAAATTTTGTAGTCTTGCTTTATATTTATCTTCTGTTGGCGAATTAACAAGGTTCTGCCAGCTTAAGAGAAATTTATTCCATGCTTGATCAGTAGTAAAGCACTCTTTCACTTTTGCAGCAATGTTTTTATTAATATGCCATAAGCAGAGTAAATAAGGGTAGTCTGGATAATCTTTATAAAACGTACCTAATGTGACGGTCTACAAAGGAGCTTAGTAAAAGGCAAGTTTGTTTATGACTCGTAGTCAAGGAATTTTCCCATAGGGAGGAAAAGGCTATCTAGGAGAGAGAATCCAGGGACTCTATATACTGCCTGGAGCTTGCCTCAGGCAGGAATGCCTGCAGGATCCCTAGGAATGTTCCTGGATGCCTGCCGCAGAGGATCCCTTGATCCTCCGGAACGTTCTCCCCAAGCCCCCTGGCTTCAGGAGGTAACACCTAATAGAGCAAGATCCCGGTCAGTACAGAGAACCGGAGGTTGGAATTTTAGGGGTTCAAGCCATGAAAAAAAGGTTTTTAATGCCCATTTATATGATTCCTTCTGTTCATTTTGTATAAAGCAGAATGCAATACTGAACGTTATATTTGATAGTAAAACGCCTATAATATGGAGTAATGGCATTTTATAGCAATTTGTTTTATATATGCAATCTAAAATAAACACTTTATTATACTGATTAGCGTAACAAATTGATTCAGGGTAGGTAAACATAAAAAATGTGATACGTCCCTCTATATCTTGTTTAAATGTAAACTTCCACTGGTAAGTAAGTAGTTGATCTAGAAGATATTGAATTAGCGTACGACTAGCAAGGCGTTCCCGTAAAAGGGCCTGTCTGAGGTTATATAAATCCTTTGGTACAATTAACAGAGTAGGATCACTCTTTTTAACCACGCTGATAATCTGTCGTAGAAGGATATTTTTATCAAGAAGACGATAAATTGTAGCCTGTTATTCCTGACTGATCGTTCGTGCTACTGGATGTGCGATCATATTATCTTTAAGCTTATGATTATGGTCAGGGTTGCTCACTTTTACGTGCCATTTTCTATCTGAATTTTTAGCACTTGATTTACTAGCATATAAGCGAAAAGTACATCCAATTCGTTTAGTATTAGTCTTCCGGCATTTTGTCTCATCCGATACATTAATCCGATCAGTATACTGACTACCACGATCACAGCCAATACAGATATTTCTACCTGGGTTTGATCTAATCGTGGTAATAGTATAGCCTTGAGAAATTGCATAGTTGCGGAGAGCTGAAAGCATTTCCTCGAGGGAATCATAGGCTTGATCAAATGGGGTTGCCATAGTAGAAAATGAGTAGAAGAGTGAATGGATAGGTAGTCAAGTATATAGATTGTTTGATCAATAACTTGATTTTCAAAACCGAGTGAGAAATATCGAATGATAAAAATAATAATTGAGTGTATGGAGTTGCTATAGTAATTTATGGAAAATGCGAGATTACATAATAACTGATATTAGATAATCAGATGGGGTGCCGTTAACTAGTAAAAAGTTGGGGTGTCCTTAGCAATTCCCTATGGAAAATGCGAGATTACATAATAAACTGTTATTAAGTAAGCGATCTGTTGTGTCCTTAACAATTCCCTGTACTCAGTAACTTCAGTTAGTAACCCAGCTAACTAACGAACTAGTTAGCGACCTCCCTCAATATGGTAGTACTCAACTCGATCGATCTCTTCCTCAATGCCTACTTGAAATCCACGTGCATCTTATCTCTTTTTCTCCCGTCTGCCCCTGGACTTTGAGGACCGCCACGTTGGAAATTTCCTTTTCCACAAATCAATGCGATCGGTGGCTGAGGCGTGGCAGAGACCACGGGAGACTAACATGGAAGGTTATGCTTCCATATCTGCAAACTGTTATCCCAGTCAGACTGGTCGACTCGATCATGTTTTGCCTAGCTGCATGCCTGAATTGGTGTCCATACCTTCAATACAAGGGCGAGGAGATGAAAAAAGGGCGGTATCTAGACCACTGCCACGCAGAAACGTTGTTCCGGGCTGTGCGTCCGCGAGAGCTTGCAGTTAACAGAGCTCTTCATCAGGATCAGAGCTATTTATCCTCAAGTTAACTAACAATGGCTGACGGGTCGAGGGCTTGCTTAGTTGGACATTTGATGCCTACCGAGGACTTTGATTGACGTCACTAGGCGGAATTATTCCGAAAGCGGAATCCTCGGTTGCTTCCTGGAGGGAGACAGCGCTCTTTGGTGCTACCCCGGCTTTCCCTTGCACGGGGCAAGGCGGGGAAGGGGTCATCGGTGGAATATCAGCCCTGGAAGTCCTTGTTCGAGACTGATCAGAGCGGAAAGGTTTCCTCCCTTGAGGAGAGGCAAGGCGGTGGTCTTAAAGGACATCGTAGCCGTGGCTCCCTTTACCTTAAACTCTACAACAGTCTTACAGCCACGCGATCCAAACAACAAGGCCAGCGGGTACAGGGCCAGGAAAAGAGCGCAGACGAGCCAAAAAAAATCAAGGTTGCGCTACAATGGCCCTAGGAACGGTATTGCTCGCTGTGCAGGAGAGTGCTGTCCAGTCACCCCTGCGGGCGTTGGCCGCTATCTTCTTCACCGTCTCTTTGCTTTACACTATCACTAATGAATTCATCCGCTCCTCTGCTAGGGTCCCTGGAATCGGAGGGCCTCGTGGGGTACCGTTGATTGGAAATCTAGCTCAGATCCGGCAGAATGCAGCAGAGCAGTACCGCATATGGTCGGAAAATCATGGCGCGGTCTATCAAATTCAACTTGGCAACATTCCGGTCATTGTCGTGAACTCGGCGGCGGCTGCGAAAGTCTTGTTTGGGCAGAATGCTCAAGCCCTCAGCTCGAGGCCAGAGTTCTACACGTTCCACAAAGTACATTCCATTACCCGTTTTTGGTCTCACGTATATTGACTGGCACAACGAGATCTAACGTACGGTCCAGATTGTTTCTAACACGGCCGGTACTACCATTGGCACTTCTCCATACAGCGAGTCGTTAAAGCGACGCAGAAAAGGTGCTGCGTCGGCCCTGAATCGACCCTCCGTGGAATCTTATGTCTCGCACTTGGACTTGGAGTCTAAAGCGTTCGTGGCTGAGCTTTTCAAGTATGGGCACGCGGGGAAGAGTCCAGTGGATCCGATGGCAATGATACAGCGGCTCAGTCTAAGTCTAGCTTTGACTTTAAATTGGGGGACACGTGTGGCATCCCGAGAAGAGAACCTTTTTGACGAGATCACCCACGTCGAAGAAGAAATCAGCAAGTTCCGAAGTACCACAGGCAATCTGCAAGACTATATTCCGCTTTTGCGTTTGAATCCATTCAACAACAATTCGCACAAGGCCAAGGAGATGAGAGACCGTCGCGACCGCTACCTCCACGCGCTCAACCGTGATTTAGACGACCGAATCGAGAAAGGAGTCCATCAGCCTTGCATCCAAGCCAATGTTGTCCTCGACAAAGAAGCCAAATTGAACCCAGACGAGCTCACCTCCATCAGCTTGACCATGCTTTCTGGGGGGCTCGATACTGTCACCACGCTCGTGGCCTGGAGCATTGCTCTCCTCGCGAAACGACCGGACATCCAAAAGAAGGCTGCAACAGCGATTCAGGAGATGTACGGCCAGAATCAACCGATGTGCGACGCGGCAGACGACCAGAAATGCGCTTTTGTTGCAGCCTTAGTAAAAGAATGCCTCAGGTGAGTGGTTGTTGTTTCTTCGCGACGCAATTCATCATGGGTAGGGGCTAGTTGAGGCTGACAGCATTGCCCAGATACTTTACAGTTCTTCGCCTCGCCCTTCCTCGAACTTCAATCCGGGACATTACCTACGATGGTGCTGTGATACCCAAGGGAACTGTCTTTTTCTTGAACTCCTGGGCTTGTAATATGGGTGAGCTGCCCCTCAATTGGTCTCCCCCCGTGCATTACGTATGCTGATGTATTGACAACCCTTGGCAGACCCCAAGGTCTGGAGTGACCCGGAGGAATTTCGACCAGAACGGTGGATGGAGCAGCCAGATGCACCCATGTTCACCTACGGAATGGGTTACCGTATGTGTGCGGGCTCACTGCTTGCAAACCGTGAATTGTACTTGGTCTTCATGCGAACTCTCAACAATTTCTGGATAGAATCGTATGACGATATTGACTGGCATCCGGTCAAAGGGAATTCTGATCCAACCAGTCTAGTTGCCATTCCAAAGAGATATAGGGTCAGGTTCATTCCAAAAAATGAGGAAGCGCTTGCCCAGGCACTGGTCTGAGGGACCCAATCCTCCCCATAATTTGTCTCGGGTCATCAATGGCTCATCCATTGTTTGCTGATTAGGTACTACTTATTCCGCTGTTTCCCAGAATGTATTAGTGAGATGGTTGATTGTCATCTCACCAACAATCACCTCTTATTTATAGTCTCGTAAGAAATAACACAATGTTGAGATGCGCTCTAAATAAGAAAAAAATTGTGGCGTAGATTGTGTCTGAGACCATGGTTTGTGCTGCTTGATAGGTACACTAGATAACTTGTCCGCCCCCGGATGGCCTATTACTAATCCTTTCCACCGCAGTGTTTTGTTTTGCTTAGTGATCAGTGGCTCCGGGGACCGTCATCATCCCGGACAAGCCCAGAAATCAAATCACCATTTGGTTGTCTTCGCAGTTTCAAGGCAGCATCACTTCGTTCACCATGTTTTCAAGGACTATATTTTCATCTGTAAGTTGGCCCTTCTTTTTGTTCTTCTTCTTCCTTTTTGCGCCTCGTATCTACTTGCCATGCATTGATCCTCTCCCCGAAATCCCAAGCTTACCGAAATCCCAGACAATCCGGCCTCTCTCCCGGCCTCTCTCCCGGCCCTCATACGTCTCGTCGCCCCTCTCTACAGGCCTCCGGCTTCCCTCAGTCCTCCATGCCCGGCTACTTTCGAATGAAACGAGGTCAGCAATCGATAAAGCAGTTGGCTCGGCTCCGGTGGTCCTTTTTATGAAAGGAACTCCTGAGACGCCACAATGCGGCTTTTCGCGAGCAAGTATCCAGATTCTAGGGTTGCAAGGAGTAGACCCAAAGAAGTTTGTCGCATTCAACGTGCTGGAGGATACAGAGCTTCGCCAAGGTATGTGTTTGAATACAGCAAGACTGAGTGATCAGTCTCCTCTGGTAGTTCCATCGGCTAATCCTGATTATCCGACAGGTATTAAGGAGTATTCCGATTGGCCAACAATTCCACAACTGTATCTGGACAAGGAGTTCGTTGGTGGCTGCGATATATTGATGTCTATGCATCAAAACGGAGACCTCGCAAAGATGCTTGAAGAGAAGGGCGTCTTGGTTGCTGTCGATTAAGTCAAGGATTTGAGATAAATTTAGGAATCTCCTGTGGTATCATTATACTTTGACCTAATTATCTTGTACGAATAGTATTCCAACTCAAAGGCCTATTTTTTTGAGACCCGAAAAGAGAGCCTCGGCTTGTAGTAGTAGTGTCCTTATTTCATTCGTTGAGGGATATTTTCCATCTTTAACATAAAAAATCTTGGTACAATGATGCAGTGTTGGAAGGAAGCTAAATGGCAATATCAGTAAGTCTTACAAGCAACGAGCAAATATCTGAACAGTATCTACTGGTCAATTCATGTTCCTTGGGTTTCATCGCTCTAATTTGTGGCTTCCTTCGATTTTTCCAACTCTTCAATGATTCCCTTTTGCACTTTGGCACGCTGTCGTTCTTCGTAGGCTTCACGGCTCTTCAAAATTCTCTCAACTATCTCACCAGCATTAACATGCTGGAAGAGATGATTGTTGGTTTCCTTGAAAATGCCCATTCTTTTAGGGGCGGAATAGGGGTCATATGTGAGGGGTATAAAAGTCGTGGGCCCGTGATAAACAACATCTGGAACAGCTAGCGGCATAGCTTTCAAGTACGGCTCGCTTGGTGAAAATGGCGCAGAAAATATGACACCGTGGATGTACTAGAGTAAAGCCGTTAAACAAAGGTATCCGAAGGGTAGGGGGGACTTGGAACTTATGAGCATACGCGACATTGGAGAACACAGAGCCCGCGTTCAAATATGTTCATGATAGGGTAATTCAACCCTTTCCAATGATTAATCACATCGTCATCATGGATACCGGCAACAACATAGGCTGGCCCGTAGTCTTCTCCGCATTCATCGAGTCTTTTGTTTCTTTGCTCTGGATCAAACCAGCCACGCTCACGACCCGCAGCTTCCTCATACAATAAAACCTGTCTGAGAAATTCAATGTGACCGGATGAGAAGAGATCAAACCCTCCGTCCACGTAAACAATTCGCTGTCCTGGTTTGGGAGGCTTGCCCCCAACCAGAGTTTCAAAGGACCCTGATTCTTCGACGGTGTTGTCGAATTTTGCCGAGCTTGAGCCATCCCATATCCAAACGTGGGGTCCAGGCTGTAAGCCACTCTCATCCGTGGCATAATCACAGATGCGCTGCTTGAGTGTAGAAGCTGATAGCCTGCGTTCTTCCTCATTCCCTGATCCCTCCTCGCCAGCAAGCGTCTTCTGTACGCTCTTCACGAAATGTCCTTTCGTGCATAGAAGCATACGGCCAACAAGATCGGTGGTCGAAATACCCGGGGTCCTTTTAACGACTCGAAAACGCCCTGCGGCCTTTACAAACCGATAGCAGTCATTCCCATCGCTGTCGGAAGTGATGTCGTCCCCGTGTACCACATACTGACACCCATAATGAGAAACCCATGGGAGGTATGTCACATAAGGAGCATGCGGCACACAGCGAGTTACCCAGCGACAAGCTTCCACCGCCGCTACACTGGCACCGGAGGCATTGATTTTAGCAAGCAAAGCGAGGCACAAAAGCGGGAAGGGTACGCCAACCGTTCTTGTAAAGTCATCACCGTAGGGCCTTTGTTTTCCAGAATTGATTCATCAGAATGGACCCCGACACAGAGTTCATTGCCCAATTTGCGGGCTTGAAGCATGGCCCCCGCGTGTCCTAGATACCTCGACCCAGATGAGCATCGTAGGCAGCTGAGAAGCAAGTGAGACTTCCTCACCATGATGACTAAAATCAAAGCAACCATCTACCCAGAGGCGATCCTCTGAGATCGGTACATCTTCCTGGGGGTCCACTGGCCATTCGCCGGGCGACGGGACCACTTCCTCTGGCGAAGTGAACATCGAGATAAAGTGTTTAAATATAGATGCGAGAGATGGGTTTGAAAATTGAGGGTAGCTCAGGATACTGTGTTCCTGTATAGTCAACAATTGATGCGGTTTGTTTGTATCTCCTCTGTGTACCAGAGAATGATCTAAATGAAGCTGCGAAGCGAAAGGAGGGAGGGGCTCGGTGAGGGGCCGTCCCAACCCCACGGAGGGCGGTGAGTAAGGGACCCGCTTAACACCTAAGGCACCTCGGGGTGGGAGTACTGTACCTTATCTTCGAACACCGCCCAACTTACCGCCTCGTTGCCGCGATTATCGGTTCGGCATCTCAGCAGAGACGGAGAGCCACACCTTTGTCGGTACTCCACTGAAATGGGTCAAACTAAGTCCTAACAAGGGATATTAAAAGCAGCAAAAAAGAGGCCTTTTCTACCAGAAGCGTGGGGCCTTGATTTCATTACAACAGTGGCTACCTATCCACTCAAGCTGTTATCAAGGACCGTCAATCATGATCTCCTCGACATTTGCCCCTAATTTGTCTCGCCGGGACACGGGCAAATCAAGCATAGGACATGACAATGCTACGGGTGCAGCTCCTCCTCCATTAGCTAGTGGAGGGGGATCTTTTGGGCCGCAGAGTGCCACGGCGATTTACCAACACATTCATAATATGGCTACCAAGCGAATATCTACATTGGACTACCTGCGAAAAGCGTCAGTTGCCTCTATCTTATTACGGATGCGAGTTTGTTCAAGACAGGAGAAAAAGAGTGTCCAAAGAGAATGATTATGCGCCTATATCCGCTGACACTTCCGTACTCACAGACATGAAGGCCGCATTTACTGGTTTAATACGGTACATTTTTCGCGTACTGACATTGGTCGAATCCCCTACTTCGAATCCCGAAAACTTTCCCGCCGCGCGATCAATTATCTCCTGCTAGGCTTATCGCTTCCTCCAATACTTGATGTCAGCTCGACCCCCCCTGAGTATCTGCGCGCATTAAATGCGCTCCTGGTTGAGTTCGAAACCTTCCAGCAAGTGCACCCACCGGATGGGAGTTCGTCCTCGTCTCTAGCCAGAGCACGAATTCCTCAGATGTTCAAAAGAGCTGCACAGGCTGGAGCTAAAACTAGACGAGCAAGCTCGGCTACCGAAATCGGCCTGCCTATGCAGTCTAGTGATCCGTCCGACCTCAAAGGCATGACAGGGAATATATCCTCTTCAGCCTCGGCAGCAGCTGTCAGTTCTTTTCCTCACACTGAAGCCTCGGAACTTCTCCCGGGCGAAGAATACTCGTATCTCTTGACCCCGTCATTACCTTTCGAACCGGATTATTTCGAGACCTTTGTAACCCTGTGTGACGTATTGATAGATTGTTATACTCGGCTTGCCTCGTTGATCTCGAGCCCCTCGGTGTGCACCGTCGGACTGGGCGAAATGTTCTCAAAGGCAGATGCCAAAATTAGAAAAATCATGGTTGCCGGCATTGTACGAGAGTTCGAAGACGCAAGTCGGAATAATGCCAAAAACGAAGTCTTTGGGGTTAGTCGCGTTGTTCTTGGTGGCCTTTTAGGTTAACACGAAAGTTTGGACTTTCTATTGCGTTATGTATATTCGAATGAACAAAATACACTGGAGGCTTAAATTCTCACCCCGTTCCTTTGCGATAAGTAGCAATCACACGTGTCGAAAGTATTCGAATATGTCATCCGTCGTCCAGACGATCTCCTATCCTCCGTAGGTCATCCCGGTTTCTCATCGGTGGTCCGGGCGTTGCGAGGTCGTTTACTCGAGGCGGGAAGGAGCGAGGGTCTGGAACATTTCAATGCGTGACGTTCTTCAGAATGAGACAAATGGTAGTGGAATAATTGAATTGGTATCGGATCGCGAGTTTCGTGAAGACAGCAGTGATAAATTTAAGAGTACAGCAGCAACACCAGGACCAAGGTCAAAGGATTCTAGGGGATTCTGTCAAGAAAATGTATCAAACGCCATGTCACACCAAACGCTTTAAAAATATGCCAAACTAACGCCAGGATATGCAACCGCTCAGATCATCGATGTTCAAGAAAAACAAATCCAGTTGCCCGCAAGCACCGCCGAACGAGCCAAGCGGCAATATGGGTGGCGAGATAATTCATGGCTGTATTTTCCGCTCCAGCTCGCGCTGTTCGCCAAAGACTCGTCGGCTCATTTCGAGAACAGCCTCGAATCCTTCCCGCCCCCTCTTCGCATTTTGGCTAAACCTCTCAACACTCGCCTCCTCGACTTTGTTCTTGATCTTCTGCCAGCCACCGCATAACGCAGTTATCTTCGCCTCTTGGTTAAAGCTGGTAGTTGAGGTCGGTTCTGTTGACGATGGTTGATATGTAACAGTCTCTCGGACATTTAGAACGTTGGACCACGTAAGGTTGGACGAGCACATCGTAACCTTTTTTGAGATTGGATCGACATAAGATATCTCGTAGACATGGGAGGTAGCGCTGCCACCAAAAAGCGAGGAGACCCATTGTGGGACAGATTGATCGCAGGTAATGAGGCGCTCGGTGCGCAACTAAGGAGTGGTAACGTCAGCGACCGTTTGAAACCTGGGAGGATTTGTGCAAGAAAGATCCCATAGAACGCCAACTAAATTATGATAAAAGTGAGATGAACATACAATACCAGTGGTTGAATCGACGCTTCTCGATAAGGTATCTACCGCCACGACATGGGGAGATTTATCATTCCAAGGGCAATATTTGCGCCAGTTGGCTGCTGAAACCTCCTCCCATGAATAATCAAAGGTGCATGTTGAAGAGAAAACCTTCATGGCTATGAACGCCCGAAAACAGTTCACCGGTCTAGATTATCTGTGAAGGTTTTGTGATCTCCCACGACTTTCGAGGAAAGGTCGGATCCAGTAATTCCGGGGGATTTCCTGTGGGGATGCTCTATCGAAGCAAAGTGGCAGTTATAAGAACTAAGAATGAAAGCCGACATTCATATTTAAGATGAGTGATCGATAGCGAAAGAAGCTCCAAACACCGTCAAGTGGGTGGCGAAGGAACGGGGTGGGCGTACGGAGTAATGTCCAAAAAAATAAAAAAAAATTCTCTTCCCAAGCGCCGGGTTCTCCCGACGGCGCAATACTTACATTAAATCAGGTACCTCAACTCTTCTCCAGATCTGGGGCAGGAACTGCGCCATGACAATGATAATTCTCCATTTTTTGTCCCTCCTTGAAGTTATATTAAAACGAGTGCTCAGAGAGAAAACACAGGGTCACTAATTGGAATAAAGGTGCAAACAGCACCTAAGATATGGTGTATGTATGTACTTCCCGTCCTATACGGATATGTTACCGCCCAGGTACGTTTGGCAGGTGTATTGATAGGTAGTGTGGTAGTAATTAGATGTATGTACTAGGTAAGGTGTAGGTGGTCCATACAACCTTGGAACTGAGCATTATTTCCTACAACAATCCGCAGCCTGCAGAAACATAAAGGTTCATAATTTTCATAATTTCATACGACAGTCTCCTGGTCCCACCAGACATCCTTACCTATAGTTTCACCTCACTACAACAAAGCTCATCAAAAAAGATGGTTGAACTACGCAAGCGCAAGGTCACTGAACAACCTCCCGTGGTAGAGAAAAGGGTCAAGAAAACTGCCTCCACCGCCAAAGCATCGACTGGAGCAAGCGCGAAGGGACGATCCACCTCGGCGACTTCTCCAGCATCCACCCATAAAGTCGGAGACAGAGTCGCGTTGGATGACTTTGGCGGGCAGATCGAGACCAACGATGGAAAACAGACCACATTGAAGGAACTGGTCAACAGCAGCCAAAATGGAGTGGTCCTGTTTACATATCCAAAAGCCTCTACTCCAGGTTGTAAGTTGTTCAAATGTTTTTTGAAGAGTACCGTCTGTTCTATGTGTGCTCCTATTGATCGCGGACTCTTCGATGACACCAATGTGGAATGAGGCTCACATTATCCAAGGTACGAAGCAAGCATGCATGTTCCGCGACAGCTACGACCACCTGACGTCCACTGGATTATCAATCTATGGGCTTTCGGCGGATTCACCAAAGGCGAATAGCACATTCAAAACGAAACACAATCTCCCTTATCCTCTCCTCTGTGATCCTACATTTGGCCTGATCGCGGCACTGGGACTCAAGAAGTCACCCAAAGGTACGATCAGGGGTGTGTTCGCTATCAACAAGAGTGGCGATGTTTTGCTGTCTCACACGGGAGGACCAGACGCGACTGTAGAGGCTACTCGACAATTGGTCGCTAAGTGAGCATGGTGATCAAATCCTTAACTGAAATGCATCAATTCTCCAGTCATAATGACAAGACATTCACTGGGTACTGGGCTATTGAATCACGGTTTTATGTTAGTGAAGGCTAGATAGTACAGGGTATTTCTGGACCCAACGCAACAATAACTTGATTACAGACCCTCTTGAGCATGGGAGAAGGGGAGCCATTTACTTGACCTTTCATCTCTAAACTGATTAAGCATTTAGAAGATATGGAATAGAACCCGATCTAATTACCCATTATCATTAACTACATAGTTAGGTGAACGGGGGCCCAGCAGTAGTTAAAGAAGGCCATCATCTCGGAGGTACTATTCTTCCGGTGGTGCCGACACTCGCCATTTCTCCTGATTGTCTGGAGGCCTTGACCAACACGGCAGAAGGTGATTGTGTAATCCTTGTCCGCCAGCAGCCATTCCAAGTATTCACTAGGTGAGTAGATGGCGACTAATTCTGCCAAAATTCCAATTTAAAGAACCGAAATCAGAACGCTCACGGCTCTGATACTTCTAGACCGAACATGGCTCGCGGCTATCTCAACGCGGCCAAGTCCGCATCGAATGTCATAGCCGTTAACAAGGTATGAAAATCTTGGAACTTCCTTGACTCTTCATTCCAAAGCGTCTAAAAAGTACTAGAAATATACCCTTCAATCCGTCGGAGTATGGGAACGGATTCGCCGCGTCTTTTCCATCGAACCCAACCGTTCAACCGGTGTGCCATTGAACTCTCAGTTTCGACTGCCGACCCCTGGCTCTCTGCCTCCGCTTAGCTATGATGACCCGGTTACTGTACCGGCTGGTGATATAGCCGACAACCCGTACTGGAAGCGCGATGTTCGGAGGAGTTACCCCCGGCTCAGTACCGTGAACCAGGCCGATGCCGTTGGTCTTCTCAGCGTCGGTAGCCAAGCAGCGCCCAAGGATGATGTTCTGCAAGTCGGTGAGGCCGGAGAGAAGCAGCTAGTTTCAGTCAAGCAACAGGGGGAGCAGCGCGGCTTGGCCGGCCTGTTCGAAAAGGACAACAAGGGCATTAAAAGTGTCTTGGGTGCCAATGGTTTGCCGCCAATGCCTACCAACTTGAATTCCTCGGCCTCGAAGTATCAGCTCGGCGATGATCATGGCTACCCCGATGTGTAAGTCTTACCTACTCCCTCGGTCTTTTACGGGTAGTTGCTGTTCTTGGCTGACATATTGAAAGCTACCCCTGCCGTACCTTTGTTTAATCGCTCTATTGGCCTATTTGGATGAAATATTTCTATGCTTTAACCTCATGTAGCAGAGAATACAAGTGAGATACAGGACTAGTATGTATTAACAATGCCATTTTGTGTTACTCCCGGGTATGAACTTTAGCTGCGGAAGGCATCGATAAGTCCTTGACCATGATATTAAAGTAAGGCATAACTATATGTCTTATTTGCGGCGGAAGACCAAGTGATCTTTGCTCATATCCACGGCCGCGGGAGCAATGAAAGCCTGCGGATTTATATGGTTTGTAGGAGCTACGCTGTTCTGTTCACTACTTCTGCATGTAACGTGAAAACGTATTGCCCGAGCGACCGAATTGACCGAGCGACCCCACCAAATATCAAAAAACCTTCAATTTTTCACCACGACTAATACCACAAAAATAACTCGAATTTTGCTATTTAATACGTGTAGGGCATTTAACATAGGTATGACCTTTAATCCCACATTCAGAGCAGGTAACCTGCCGCCTAACTATAGGCATAGAAGGTAAAGCAGGTTCTGCAGGTAGTTCTTCGGATATCTCTGGCAAAGATATATCTTCACTACTACTATCATTTTTAACAATTATATCATCCTGACTATCCTCCTGACTCCCGAAAATGCCTCTCTGGCTAGTAAACTTATGTTTAATTGCTCGTTTTTTGATCTGTTTCTTATTAGAAGCCTCCAATTGGTCGCAGCGATTCTGAAAAAAAATATGATGATAGACCACTTTTATAGTCATTTTATAGGTCCTCTCAATCTCCCGTTTGGTTGGTGAAAAAAGAATTGAAGAAGAAGATTCTAGACCTTTTTTGATCCGAGATTGCGATTCTGAGAATTTTGAAAAAGTCCAGAGAGTATTTGGATCGCTATCACTGCCAGAAGAGAGTGGTCGTAGAGGAAAGATTTCAAGAGGAAGAAATTCATCCAGGCATATATTAAGCTTTTCCAAGACTCTATTAGCATCAAATGGTGCTAATCCAGTAGCTAAAAAGCTATTCTGGATAGTAGAAGTCTTAAAAGCTCCCTTTCTTGCTTCTGCAATTAATTCAAGGAAATCTTTTTTATCAATAGAATTGACTCCATTCCGTATCATGGTTGAAACCGCTTCTCCATAAAGCCTCTTTAAAACCGAAAAACAACCCACATCTAAAGGTTGTAGAAGATGAGAGGCATGAGAAGGCATACAGATCGCAATGATATCATTTTTTTTACAAATTCGATCAAATTCAGGGGTTAAATGACTCCCATGACTATCAAGGACTAAGAGACAGTATTTTCCTACTCTTTTCTTGATATTTGGGATGAAATGAGATTTCAACCACCATGAACCAATTTCATTGGTAGTTCAGCCATTTTTGCTCACTGTCAGACGAGATCCAGGTTGATTTAAATCAAGGGGGATGCGTAGATGTTCAGGAAACAATTTCCCCTTAAAAATGAAGAGAGGAGGATGGACACTTCCATCAGCTCTAATACACTCAATTGAAGTGACCCATTCACGATTTCTAGCTTGTAAGAGAGCTCTTTTTCTATAGTATTCAGCTGAAGTAATAATCCTTTGTGTAGTACCAATTTCTATAGCAAAACCAGACTTATCAAAGTTGAAAATATCATCCGAAGTGATACCCCACTTTTCAATGGTATTTTGGACCAAATCAAACCATGGTTTGATAATTCGAGGGTCCTCTGAAAGAGCCCTTTGATAGTCGTATTTTCGAGATAATCGTGTAGACAAATCTGGATGTCGTTTAACAAAGTGAGATGCCCAATCTCTACCAACAGTAGAGGGAATTATTTTTTGGGCATGAAGGAGCAAATTGGCCATATCTTTCAACATAGGCAGTGTAAGAGCAGCACCTCTGGTATCCATATCCAATAGCCATTTTTTAATCGATTGCTCTTCAATTTCAGAAAAAATAAAGCGATTGTGTCGTTTTTCAGAAGCAGCTTGACGCCCATTAAGGCGGGCCTTTAAAGTTGAGACTGGTAGATCAAAAGACCGCGCAGCAGCTGCAGCAGAGGAATATTTACCATCTTTTATAGCTTTTATAGCTAATAGAAGACGGCCCTCCTGCTCTATTAGTTTTTTTTTTCGATCAGACCGTTGGGGGGGCATGATTATTGTGGTAAACAAGATATGTTATTTTTTGAGATAGGTTTTTAGTGGGGCCGCTCGGTCAATTCGGTCGCTCGGGCAATACGTTTTCACGTTATATCGCGATGTACATTGTTTACGTATTATGAAACCAAGCTATACAAGATAATTCGAGGCGCACGAATACTTCTCTTTGGGACGCTTAATCAAATGGATTTGTGCGCGTGCCCCACCATGTCAAGAACAAACTCAGGCCAACTGTTTCAAACACTCTACTCACAGCTCCCACGGCAACCGTATCCAAGGGTCTCTTCTCCGCAAATACCTGGCTGATGAACTGTTTCCAAAGAAGAGCATGTCAGCATGTCTTACGAAGGAGATGGGGGAGGAGAGGGTTAGAGACAACGTACACCAGGAGCAGCGCTTGCCATGAAAACCAATCCACCCAGATACGCGGCACCCTTGTAACTCAAGGTCCCAGTGGCATTGATCAAAGCTGCCACCCCGTAAGTCTGCACGGCACTTCCAGCCAGGGAACTACCCCAGGCAGCTGCGGCACCAGCAGCCTCCTTCGATTTGAAGAATTCCTCTTTAGAATTGGCGGCTTGCGCCCGGTGGTAGGTGTCCCCAAACACCGGTGCAAGTATACCCAAAGAAGCGGTATGGGTGAAGAAGGTACCAAGTACGATGGCCGACGGCTTCACCGGAGGTAGATCTAATTCCTCTTCTCAGCATCTGTCCGCTCCAACGCTAGAACAGTATAGTGATAAGTCAAGCGCAAGCCAGCACTTACAGTGGAGAGTAGTCATTTTCGAGGATTGGCAAGGAAAGTTGAGAGATGCTTAATTGAGTTATTGAAGGTTGTAAACTACCTAGCAGACTGGTGACATGATGGTTTTTATAAATCAGTTCAGATGTGGTGTCATCATGGGACACGAGGTGACGTATCTATGATTAAAAGACACCGTCTCTACCAACGGAGGATGCACTCCGGAGTATGGAGAGGTTAACTATCGCGGGGAGTGACCAGGAATGACGTCAACTATGGCAGACACAAAGTAGGTAGAGAGGCACAAAGTAGGAACTCGTATGTACTTTATGCCTTGTTTCCCCCCTGGTTAGTGACTGTTAGACCTTATTGAAGATAGTACTAGGGTAGCGCAGATCACCTAGCTTAGTACAGGTATGATTAGTAACTACAATACGGAGTACAATCTCTGGAGATCATCTTCCACGCCCCTCTTCTATCGTCGACCCTCCGGGAATTCGGCGCCAAAGAAACCCCCAGGCTAGAGCAAATTTTGCAATGGGTCACTCTAACCACCAGTCCGCATTTAGTGCTGTCCCTTCCCCTCCCCTTTTGGTTCTTACCCGAAGGCTCATGTCTGCTCAATTGTCTACTTTGCCACTCAACATTGATTGATCCAATATTTCTTTTCTGTGTCCGCCCAAGATCGGCCCATCCCGCAGCAAGCCCATCCCCACCACCGGTTCAAAAGGAACAGGCCATGGAACAGCCTGACGATCACCGTTCATCTCTGGACGGTCTAAACGATGACTTTGAGGTCAGCGAATCCCTTGTTCCCATGCGGGACCTTAAAGCGGCCGAACAAAACACCGTCTCTTTTGACGGTCTTTTGGCGGAACCCTTAATCCTCAAGGAGGATCTCAAAGAAGGATGCGGGGGCCAGCTGTGGCCGGCCGGTATGGTGCTTGCGAAGTATCTACTCCGACAGCACCGCTCGGATCTTTCGAACAAAACCATGTCAGTAGGACCCGGATCCTTTGCTTCTCTTCCCTGTCCGGCTTTGCTCTAACCGTCCCGATCAGAATTGAACTGGGAGCCGGCGGCGGACTGGTGGGGCTTGCAGTTGCACGTGGTTGCAACATCGACAACCCCCCTCTATACATTACGGACCAAGCGCCTATGTTCCCCTTGATGGAAACGAATATTAAGATCAACAACCTGACCTCAACCGTTGTCGCGGGAGTGCTGAACTGGGGAGAGCCCATTCCAGATCTTATTCCAAGGCACCCGGCCGTCATACTTGCGGCTGATTGTGTTTACTTTGAACCGGCTTTCCCCCTGCTGATTTCGACATTGAGGGATCTGCTAGGCCCGGAATCCGTTTGCTATTTCTGTTTTAAGAGACGCAGACGCGCCGATCTTCGCTTCATGAAAATAGCTAGAAAGGTATTCGAGGTGGAAATCGTCTCCGATGACCCCGATGCCGAAACGTACGCGCGAGAAAATATATCTATCTTCTCCATACGCCCCAGGCAGAGTGAGGGAAGGCCATCGGAGTGAGGGAAGGCCATAGCAAGGTCAGTGGAAAAGACAGCATAGCCCAACTCTTGTGCCCGCCGCAATAGGGTTATGTGCGCAAGTTCCCAGCGAAAAAAAAAAGATTGTCTCAAGCGGACCAAACAGAAAGGTTGTGCTCTGGGATATAATCCGACCATGTGTTGGGAACTTGTTGAAACTCATTGATGAAAATACTTGATTCGAACGACTACCTCTTCACTAACTAAAGATCGTTACATTCATTGTTCGTCATAAGGAACATAAACAGAAGAGAACTATACCCCGTTATACTTGAAGCCCCAGCATCGTACCTTCCACCTGACGAAGGATCTCCAGAAACAAATTATCAGTGTAAACGAAGGTGTTGTTTATCACAAGATAATTCGCCGATTCTACTACACAGTAGACAGGCCCCAATACAGATCTATAACTCCAGCATGAGAACATAGGCCGCAAAGGCACAAAACAGCGGGGAGACTGACTATAATTATGCTGCGAATGGCCATTCGTGGTTCCTTCAGGTGGCGGTGGCTATCGAAATTCTTTGGTACATACAATGGTTCTAGGCTTCAGTCGGATTCTGTGCCAGAATGACGGTGCATTTCCCTGTCACATGCGACTCTGTCTACGTCGCTGGTGCCACTCAGGAATATTGGCGACAATCGCTGCCTGGCCTTGTAAAAAGTGAATGAGTGAGATGTCCCCCATGCCATACACTTGTTTGTCCAGTGCGGGAGGCCAGTATTAACGCCTGGGACTTCTGGTATCACTCCCGTGTCCAATATCGATTCGTACAAATATTTCAGGACTTGCACTCACCTTGAGCTGTCCGGCTGAAGTTTATCCCTACGATGTTCCGGCTCAAATCTATGGTAACAACAAGTTAGTGGCTGGACGGATGAGAATAGGACTATTATAATTCAGATTTAGCATGGCCACTCCACCTGATGTCGATCCAGGACCACTCAAAACTGGCGACTTGATGGTTAAGCAACATATCACTTTGGGTGTGAAATTGCTTAAAGTGGACGTATTCTGTTAGCTGAATACGTGTCGTAGCTTATGACCAGACACAGTCCTGGATCGAGTTGCAAAACTGGCACATCCTAGTGTTGAGGAACGGAGTCTAGCAGATATTTATATACAGCTACAAGTCTCTACGAGCACAGAGGTCTGCACATCCCCGACGTCAAAGCCGGTCGTCTATGGAAGAATAGACAGTCATTGTTTTCCGCGTCCGTTGTTCAACGAACGAATGCTATGGTCTGTACAAAACAAAATTTTCACCATGGCCGTTTCATCAAAAACCTCTGCATCGTCCACCGGTCCCTATAGTTTCAAGATATCTGCACCTTTTTCACGGCCTCCAGCGCTCATCTCTGAAACTCTGTTACCCTGAATGTCAGTGACCTCACCCTGCTTCCCAATAACTTTAACGCCGCCTTTTCTCAAATCAGACACGACTTGTTGTTTCTCGGCCGCTTTCCCAGATGTCTGCTTTGAGTGGTCAATTCCGGACTTCTTTTGCTTCTTATTCTGGCGCCGAAGCCTAGCCTTCTCTTCCCGCGTCATCTCTTCCTTGGATACCGATGCCCCGTTCTTCAGAACCCTTTCACCGGCAGCATTGCCATTATCGCCGGGTTTGTAAATTTCTTGTGGCGCCAGAGTAACCGTATCATTAACAGTGCTGGATGCTGTTGGTCGCGCATCCTCCATGGTAATTGTTGCCACATCAGCAACCACGTTTATGCTTGGCTGAGGAGCCTTGGGTTTATAGTGCCAGTTTGAGAGGGTGTCCAGTTGGGAGCCTACTTCCTTCCATAGATTAGTGATCTCCGTATGCTCTCGCACCAATTTCTGATCTTTTGGATCAACGTAATTCGGGTCCGTGGCACGAAGATGGTCTGTTTCATAAAGCTCGGCAAGACTCTGCTGGGGTTTAGCATCATCCAACTCAAACCGCGCTCTCCGTGCATCTCGTGCATCTGAAATGCCAGGGTGTCGACGAATGATCTCGTCGAATTCTAGCGCAAGAATTCGACGTTTGACGAGCTCCTCGATGTCCTCCGAGACTTCCGCAGTGACTATCGGCACCGGCTTTCCAACTCGTTCAAATTCCATATCCTCCTCGATGAGAGAGTTCACAGGCCTTTCAACCGCTCTAGCCTCACCCCCAAGCATCCATTCTTTCTTGGCAACATTGGCGGCTTCCAGGCGTCGAATCTCATCGGCAATCTGCGCGCGCCGTTTCTCATGAGTCGAACGTTGGCCTTGGGGTTCGCCCGAAGCGTTATCAGAGGCATCCATTTCGTCAGCCGAACCTTCGTCGTCAAATAAATCGCGGCGAACATCGGCCATCGCACGATCTATATCGTTGTCGACATCTGTTTCGCGAGGTTGTGTTTTTGGTAAGGGGCGGGATATCTTGCCGGTGGCTTTACGGGGAGGCGGCGCGAAGAAGTCGGAATATTTGATATCACTCGTGTCGACCCAGCCATTATCATCTGCGCCACCAGCATCGCTGCCGCCCTCTGAGCTCAGCTCATGATGAACTCCCATGTTATCAAATGTGGGCCCTTCTTCATCGCTCTCTTCATTCGAACTTTCATTGTCGGAGCCGGTATCACGGGAAAGGGGTTTGGGGTTTGCGACTGAGCTTGCAGAGGCCAGCGGGTTAGAATGCCAGTTAATATCTTCCTCATCACTATCAGAATCATCATCCGCTCCACCCCTGGCATCCTGTTTCTCGAATACCTCCGATTGTCTGTTGAAATCATCGATTGAAAAAAAGCCGTCGTTAAGATTGAAACGATCTTGCGTGTATGTATCTTGACCATGGCTGTCGTGGCTTTTATCACCCCCATCTTCAGAATTACCATCGTCCGACCTGTCGTCCATGCCTTTGGGCTCTGAATCTGAGTGCGATAGCGCATCAGAACCCACTACAGATTCTGTGCCGGCTTCTTCGGAACCATCACTCGATTGATCTGTATCATCTTCAAGAGGGGTGTTCGAGCCACCGATTGGCCATTCGTCGGTTTCAAGTTTCATGTCATCGGAACGGTTTGCAGGAATTTGTGCATGGTGCAAGGACACGTTCCGCGTATAATCATGCTCAATTTCTTCACTGGAGGACTGGAGAATTCTCAAGGCCTGCTCCCATATCTGATCGGAAGAAAATCCCTCCACGTATAGTTGTTTAAGCTGCAAAACGTGATTGTCGTGTTCTTGGGCAAATCCCAGTCTCTTGCGTTTCCTATTGTTTTGAAAACGGGCGCTTTGTGAGGCGCAAACAGAAGAAGCGAGCGCATCGATTATGTATTTGGAAAGGGCCACCGATTGAGTGTGAAGTTTGTTTGTTGGATGAAGAAAGGTCCATGGCGCAGACAACGCGGAATTGGTAGCAAAATTCCAGTCCCCCGAACTAGGAGAATCGGGGGCATGGTCAAGAAAGTGTTTACTGTGGCTCATTTTGGGATGAAAACAGCAGTAACTTAAGACCGGCCCCAAAAACACATGGAGTGAAACAGCAGAAAAAGGGCAGGTTGCTGTCCAAATGATACGGCTCTGGAATATTCCCGGGAGGTCAAAAAAAAAAAAAAAAAAAAAAAAAAAACTAGCCAAAAAATGAGCCGTCCTAGTTTGCTTAGGCACAAGGCTAATACATATCTAGCAGGCGGTGTGGAGATACGGATGATACAGTCCAATGGCGCCCTATCAGATTGCAGATAAAGAAATTACGATATACTGTGCAGAAAAGTCCATCGGCAACAAAGCAGCCTACATAGACAATCCCTGGGTTGCACCCACCATTGAATTCAATGTCGCTAGGTGAGCCTGTACCCTTCTCTACCTTGGATATCGTCCTGGTAGCAAGTTGTCGCACAATCATGGCAAAGCCTTGGTAGTATAGCAACTCTCTTCTAGATGTCGTCCAACCCAATAGATCCGGGGTCTTGTCTTTCTTGCAAATTAGAGTATTTGCTACGTTCTGGGTCAGTGTTTAACTCTTAAAGAGAGAGGTATTCTCAAGAGAGATCGGGGGAAGGGGCCTCCTTCGGGATGAAACCGTTGTGTGGAAATTGGCAGGGGAAACTATGACATAGCAACACGAAAGCAACTAGGGTAGGTAGGTAACTGAGAATCAGATAAAACTTGAAATTGTGTGACATCCAGAAGTTGGTCCAAAGTCGCAAAGGTTGCAATTGAGTAATAAGTACACCGTTTCCACCAAAGAACAGCACAGTAATTTTAAGTACACATCACGTACCTTGTCTGGTTTCCAGCCAGGGGCCCCTATTCTAACATTCATGGAGTCCGCCTCAGAAAATCAACGTCTGTACCACATGCGCGTGATTCTTGTATGCCTCATCTTCTTTTGAAGCTGAAAGATTCCATACATCAGTGCCTCAGATGTAGGTGGGCCTTCGACAAACATTAGCAAACACTGTACGAGGGGTGGTAAATGACCAGGGGTGAACGAACATCCAGGCACATAGACATCGACAGGCACAATCCTGTCACATCCGCGGACAACGGAGTAGCTGTAATGGTAGTACCCGCCGCCGTTTGCGCAGCTTCCCATGCTGACAACCCAACGAGGGTCGGGCATCTGATCATAAACTTGTCGCAGAGCAGGAGCCATTTTGTTGGTCAAGGTGCCGGCGACAATCATGACGTCTGACTGTCGAGGGGAGGCTCTGAAAATGATACCTAATCGATCTTGATCGTATCTCGGCGTGGATAAGTGCATCATTTCGATGGCACAGCATGCAAGTCCAAAGGTCATGGGCCAGAGAGAGCTCTGACGCGCCCAGTTGGCCACCTGATCAAGCGTGGTCCTGCGCATAGGATTAGCACAGGTCGGGACTATTTACATTTCATGAATGATGGGGTCACCAACAAGACATATTGCATCGCCCCCTCCTTCTTCTCCTGGCTCGGCAAAGGCACTTCCTTCCGTACCTTTCCAGATGCAGACAGAGATTGGCCGGATTGGCCTTGTCGCTCAAGCGCCGTCGCTGATTTAGTGGAAGAGGTTGAAAGCATAGCGACAGTGTGAGCCCGAGGTGTGTTTAAGAAGCCTGGTCGCGCTACCCAGTGTGAGCAAACCAGACGCCCATGGGTTAAGAAAAAAACGAAGAGGCAAAAACCAAGATGCTTACCATGAAGCGCGCCCGAAAGGGCGCGTTTGTTGAGGAATGACATTTCGAAAGTTGGTGGATCAAGGCGTTGAATTTCACTAATATCAGATGGAGGATGGGTTCAATGGTGGCTCAGGAATCAATGGTGGCTACCAGATATCAAGCCAAGTGAGGGAGAGATATGGGCAGCAGAAGGCATGGATGGATTCATTTCGTCGAGGCTCCCGGTCGTATGTGGAACCGGTTGTTCCGGGTGTTACGGATTTGGTATTTGAATTGGCGGTTAACGGGCATGAACAGGGACCCCAGCGGTGTTTGATACCGTAATGCCGGGGTTTCGGTAACAAACAGTTAAAGTTGAAATCATAAGAGAAATTCAAAGCTGCATCATTGGCCGCTAGTAGTGTCTAGTAAGGGGGATGGTCCGTACTACGTAACCGGCGACAACTGGACGAATGGCTGAGTATAATCAACAATCCTTCACGATGGAGGCACTCAGGTCTTCCGGGCCAAGAATTGCCTGCATCAGTGTAATTGGAAAAGCTGTGCGCTCCTCCTTGACGAATCTAAAGGTCTATGCTAACGGTAACCTTGAAGGACAACCCTCTCCACACCTCCCTCTTCCCACCTTACGTCGATTCTAGCGTTGAGTTCTCGTTTCTGTTGAACTCGTGCCTTGATGTATTCGAGATACGTCAGAAGCAAACCTCGGTTGATCAGGACCTAGGCCTGTTACACGCTGTGGATGAGCGATTAGCAGCATATGGCTGGCTTACTACGACCGGAGTGAAGCTGCTCGTGGTGGTCGACTTGATCGGACAGGCAGTGTCTTCTAATAACGAAGGCCACAAAGTCTCTTCCGCGAATGGTGTGAAGGAATCGGATCTGAGGCCGGTACGTGTACTGTTGTTCGTCCGTCCAGAAAAGCCTCGGGGACTTTCAAACTAACGCCAGGATTTTCTAGGTCTTTCGAGCTTTACAAATGGCATATATACAACTTATACAGAATCCGTTCTACTCCCCAGATGGCCATGGCCACGCAGTGAAAATGACTACCCCGGCCTCAGATTCCTTACCAATAACCAATTCTAAATTCATCTCTGAAGTAAAGCGCATTGGCAACTCCTGGGTGCCAGGTGCGGCTTTACTGTGAACCAAGCTGCTTTGGCGCAGTGTTGATGGCAGGAACGAAGGTCTAATCCTCAGTTCCCTTTATTTCCGAAATAGATCCTAGTACTCCGTACTTTGAGGATACTACTCATGCCTGAAAAGCCGACGTTGATCTTCGATGAAATTAATAGGACATAAACCGGCATCAGATGTGCGAGCGGGATTATGTGCCGGATTATTTCACTGCCCAATATAGCACATATGAATCTGCTATGCTGCAAAGTGAGGCAATACAGAAAACAGCCAATGTATAAAACTATCCAATGGTGATGTAGTAAGATAGCGCTGAAATCTCTGTTGAACGGTGTCATGCGGATATGAAAGCAAATCAAATGCAAGAAAGAGAGAGAGGATGAGGGGAAATAATCCTAATCCAATAAGTGTGTAAAGCAAAGAACTTGCGTGGGTACGTTTAGTCGCCCATAAGATTAGCCTCCGTTTGCTCCAGGGCAACCATAATCTTCTCGAGCTCATGGGGATCGCAAATGGCCCAAACACCGCCTCCCTGCGCGACAACCTTGCCGACGCCTTTCCCTACCAGGTTCCTACCAACCTTGCCAGGACCTAGGCCGACCCATCGCTTGACTCCTTCCTCCTGATCTAGAAACCTAATACTCTCCCACCATCTCACTGTCTCAACGCATTGCTGGGACAGCAGCAACTTGAGCTGCTCTCTAGAGGCGAAAGGACGACCGGAAACGTTCGATACACACGGCATAAACGCAGGGAAATTAATTGTAGTATGATCCAAGGCACTCCTCATGTATTCGGCAGCGGGTGCCATGATGGGACTGTGAAAGGGGCTTTCACTGTTCAATCTCACAGCACGAGGATCATGACCTCCAAATTGGCGAAGCTGGATGAGAAGAGTTCTAATTCTTTCCAAACTGCCACTGAGCACTATTTGGTTTCTGGAGTTAATATTTGCGATCATCACATGTTCAATAGGCGGCACGTGGGAGCTCGAATCGTCTTTCGAACCAAGCGATGAGAGATCAAGAAATCCATGAATAACTGATAGCAGCTCGTCCAGATGATCCGGCTCGCAAATCAACGCCACCATACCATATGTTTCACCAGACTGTTCGACGGCATATCGAGTGCACTGAGCCATTATTTCGGCCCTTCTGCGAACGATTCTCAAAGCATCGCCAAAACCAAGGTAGCCCCCAGCAACAAGGGCTGAAAACTCTCCTAGACTATGTCCAAGGGTAACATCAACGCGAGACTTGGTGTCAAAATCGAAATGCTCCTCTAAGATTCGAAGGATCAAGATCGATGTCGCCATTATGGCAGGCTGTGAATTTTCAGTTTTATTAAGCTCCGAGTTGGGCCCCTCTGAGATAAGACGAGATAGCCCAAACCCTAGGATTGCATCCATCTCACTGAGAAATCTTTCGGTGATGTATGGGAAGTCATGAGCCCAAGAGGCAACCATTCCTACCCGTTGTACCCCGTGACCTTACCAAGAAACTGTCAGTGGTAATGAGACTCGAAAGGCAAAGCAGCAAAGATTATTCAGACCAGGGAAGAAAAGGGCCGTTCGCAGTTGCTTTTTAGGCGAGGATGTATAGAACTGCTTGTAGCACCTCGCGGGTTCAAGTCTTGGCCGGCATTTTGAGCGAGGATAGTATAGCACAGTTTGGACATGTAACCCGGTCTTCGATTTGCAAAGGGCCGGTAGCATTTTGGGTTTCGCCAGCCTCTGGAGTTTCCTTAGACCTCTTTATCGATGGGCAAGGATCGGTATACCAACATTGCTATTCATGAATGTTTGACAAAGCCGAGGATAAGCTAGCTACACGGTGGATACCAGCAGGGCCGTTCGGCAATGCTGACGATGACATCACGTGACAGATACAAGACCTGAGCATTCCATGCCAATCACTGAGGTTTTCTTGGGATGCATCTTTTTTTTAGGAGAAGAAAAGAGTTGAATAAATGAAAAAAATAAACACAAGACTTCGTAGAGAGAACGGGCAGCTTTCTGACGCCAGTATGATGCCAGAGCAGGAAGTAATTCATTGTAAGGAAGGATGTTGTCGGAAAGGTCTACAACGGCAATATTATCGTCACGCTAGGTCGAGCTCACCGCCTTGGGAAAAGAGCAGCTATTTTGTTTTCCTTTCCCCGTTTTCACTTATCTATTTACACTAGATTATGCCCAAACGAAATACCCAACTCAAACAGCACGAGTGAATGGTAAACTCGACACTGGTTGCCAACGCAAGTTGCTCTGGCTTTCAGCCTTCAACCCAAATGAATTAAATAGTCCCACGTTGAACGTCGCCCTCCGCATATACTCGATTGATTGCGACGATGTTTGTACCAAAAACAGCAGTTACGTCTACGGGCCCCCTGCGCAACCCTCGACGGCGTCAGCGCACAGGTTCTGATGATTCCGTCAAGCCACCGAGTGCTAAAAGACAGCGCTCTGCTTTACGGAATGGAGATTCCGGGGCATCATCAGAAAACCAACTGGGCCAGCATAGTTCTGACGAGTCTTCAGAATATCCAATTCACTCAACTTCGGACGAACGCGCAGCATTCGCTGTCGATTCTTCCTCCAGTCCGAAAGCGATACCAATCAGGAGCATACAGAAGATTGAGAAAGAAGTTAATAAACTTGACGCTACTATTGTACTGGTCTGTTACACCTGTCCCTTGCCCTCTCAAGTCAGTACCCTGGGAGCCGCTTTGCTAATTCCTCGGGACGACAGTCAAAAACAGATTTCTATACAGTTTCACAACTTCCTACACTACCTGATCAGCTCCGCAATTCGCAACCCGGTACGTGAAAAACCGCGCGCTCTATATGGCTCTCGTTAACAAGATCGTAAAGGACCTTTGACATGTTTTGCTGGAATCAGTCTGGGGTATGGATTGGCTATGACAAACTCCCATGCAACAATTTGGCCCTATGCAATTGCCGCCTCGTCGCCTTCACCCGCCGATGTTTTCTCGGTTTCAATACCTGACGCACACAAGGATTCTGCAGAAACAGTTCCTCTAGGAGTACTTTTATCTGCCGCGACGAACGGTATTCCTGGTCTGATGGTCATCGTGCCTCACAGTGGAAAAATTGTTTACTGGGAAACCGTTGCCAGTGCAGCGTCTTTGGGGTTGCAGAGACAGAAACAAACAGGGATCCAGGCTCAGATAAACAATCTGTCTTATGGCGAGTATGCTACGAATTTGATTAGCTGCGAGCCTTCTGGGGTCTTGGCTACATTTTCTACCGGGCGTGTCGCACACATAACCGTGCGAGACCCCCAGGGCAGGCCCATGGTGAGCGTCAACTTCCTCCGGAACACGTCAAACAGCCGCGCCAGTAGCTTTTTGGGGGGGATCAAAAATGCGCTTGGAAGCGGCTTTTGGAAGAAAGATCTAGCGGCTATTCGGGCAAGTCAATCTCATCAGCGAGGTCAACGCGATGTCATAATTGCCACCTCATCCGGTGTCATCGAGATCTGGGATACACATTGGAATAATGGGAGCATCCTCAGAAAACAGTTCGACATAAAGAACCACCTGAACCAGTTTTTCAGGGTGCATGATATGGCAATTAGCGAGGATTCCAATATTCGGATCTTAGACTTTGCACTCCGGCCCGTGAAGAACGACACAAATTGTTCGCCAGTCGAGATCCCAGGGGCCTGCCAAATCCTCTTGGTTCTAGCACTCCCTGAGTCGAAACACAACAGTGTTTCTCTGGTACAGGTTGATTTATCAGAAGAAGTCCGCATTGATTTCGTCACCTCCATCGATCTATACAGCGTTTCTACCGGTTTGGATAATATCAAGCCTAAGCTGCTAGTCCCCCACCCTGGAGATACCGCATTCATCATGATAGGACACTCAGTCATACTTGCATCATTGAAACACATGAAGAGCCCAGTTGCTGGGTCCCACTTATCCATCAATGCCGATGAAAAACCGCGAGTTTCATATGATTCGCTCACTTTTCGCTCAGGCAAAGGCTACGAGATCTTGGGTTGTTGCGCCGAACACCAAAGTACCGAGAGCTCACCCCCTGCCTGTCTCGTAATGGTCCGGGATTTTGGCCTTATTCGGATCTCTGCCTTCCCGCGTCCGATGACAGAGAGCACTGCCGAAAGTGCTGGTGTCTCCGCCAAGGAAAAAATCGAGCAAGCCATATTCTACGGGACAATGCTAGGCAATCCTTTGAGTCTGAATAGAAAGAGCGACCTGGCCTTCCCCCCCATTGAAATAGAGCAGGCTACACTGGAAATCTGCTCGGAGATACTGCACTCCACTTCGAGATTTGTACCCACAACGGCAATATCTATGGATCAGAACTTGAGGTCTCGAGCGAAGGCGCTTACTGATCTGGCGTCGCTTCTAATGGAGCTAAATTTGACAGTTGACCGGCGAACTTGGTGGGAGCTACTGTGGGGCGCAGAGAAACTCGCGGCCCAAAGGGCTCTGTGGAGATGGGAAGAAAATGCTAGGAAAAGTAAAACTTCCGGTCCAACATTCCTCAGTCACGTCATCGGCATCATGAGCGATAAATTCAAAACGTGCATTGATAAGTCAGGCGATGATATCGATCCAGTGCGCAGCTGGTTACTATACGATACCTCTCGAATGGAACACATTGTTCCATGGATATACAACGCTATCAAGCCCCAAAAAGGACAATCTACCAGACAAGGACGCATGATGGCTGAGAAAATATATGAGGCTAGCGAGCTCTCCTTGGCCGTGTTAGAGACCGCTTTTCAATACCGAGATGAGCACGCCAATCAGTACGGCATTGGAGACGGTTATCTAGAAGATGGAGTTTTGATTACCGGCTACAAGGATCTCCCAGAGTTCTGGACCTCAAAGATCATTAGCTGCGTTGAAACTGGTCACCTGTTAGATTTGGAACTTGACAGCTGCAGGCTCTGGATCCAAAAACCAAGTTCGACTGTTGAAGCCCCCGAATACCAAACAATCAGACGAATCGCGAGAAATTGTGCAAGGAAACTTCAGGTTCTCGGCCAAATGTACAGTGAACGGGTCCGGTGGCTTAACGCTCAAGAAGACCCCAAGTTGCTTGAAGAGAGCATCACTACGGAGCAAGCACTTGTCAAGCAACGAAAATGGCAATTGTTCAAGTTGGCGGGTATTGGACAACTGGAAGATGCTATCGCTATGGCGGAGAAATTTCGAGACATGGGGGCTTTGGTAGAACTCATAATCGAGTTACAAGATCAGACCAAAAGCCGGAATGTCCAACAAACTTTACCAGGAAACACCTTCGCCGTTGCTGCTCCGGGTAGCGAGTCGGAAGACCTTAGCAGGAAGATCAGCTTATATTTTGAGAAGTTTGGGGAATCATGGGCAGATGCCTTCTTTTCACGACAAATATCAATGGGTCAGCCTGGAGTATTGTTCGCGATGACCAAATTTCAAACTTTTGTGACTAGGTTCTTACATAAATATCCAGCTTATTCGCGGTTAGGCTGGATTAATGATGTGCTTGGCGAACATAATTTTGACGTCGCTGCTCGGTCATTGGAGAACCTGGCTATTGAGCAGGAGTCAGACATCTGGAGCCATCGAGCCCAACTATCTTTCTCCAAGCTTGCCAAGTTGGCATCATGGGAGGAGGACAATTGCACAGACAACCCAGCTCTTCATCACGATATCCGGCGTCTCGAAGACCTTGCCGAAATCGATGCAGTCCAGGAAGTCATCCATGCCTACATTGCCCCAGTATTGCAAGGCGCGATAGACCACAAGGCTGAAATCGATCTGGCCATGGGTCATTTCGGCAAATCAACTGCTGAGGACAGACCATCGCTCCATGAGATTCTACGGGAGGCTTTGACTCGAATAGTCAGCAGGCAGGTCGTCGGTGTCGAGCGATTGGTCGACTTTTTGACGTTGATGGATTCCACTGGCGATACCGAACTCGATCAAAGCGAATTTGCAGGAAAGGAATTCTATCTGGCTTTGCGTGCTATTCGACTCAGTCCCTACGGCCAACGCGACCCCCTCTATAATGCGGCGTTGCAAAAGCTGGTATGGCGAAGATGCATGCTGAAAGACAATTGGTCAGTTACAGGTCAGGCCGTGCAGGAAGTGGATCGTGAATTTGAGTCTTTTCTCTATAATTCAACGCTTTTCCGTACCCTCGACTTATGCCTAAAAGATAGTAAGTACTGCTGCTTCAAAGGAACGTACATCGACTGACAATACCAAAGGACAAAACGAAGACAACAACGTTTCGCTCTTTGTGCCCACTTCTCCTCGTGATGTGTCACTAACGGAGTCGCATTTGGACCACCTCGTTTCCCGGTTTCCCCTTGAGCAGCGCAGTAGAATTGGCCGTGATCTGGAAAGGGAGAACGAGAACTTGACTCAGAGCATTGAGAGCGGGAAGCTTGAGTTTTGGTTCAATCATCTTGTTGCATTTGCTGAAAACGCTGGACCAACGATGAACACAACAAGTATCGAAAATGGGTCCAATAATCACCAAGGGCAGATTGAACAATCCTCACCACGGTCACCGGAATCGGTGGGCGAAAAGTCGCGTATAAGTTGGCTTTAATTCTCCCAACCTCGGCTCCTGACAACTTTTCTTTGACTTAATATTTGAGGTTTTTGAATCACGTCCAACCGTCTACGGGAATAGAACAAGAAACCCTACCCAATCAATGTGTGTTTATGTATGTATGTACCGGTTTATCTAGGGAAATTTGGGTTGGGTAGTTGGTAACTACATGTTATTTCTTCCGCGTTAGGGAACCATGTCAAATGAATTCTTGATGAGGTTCTTTCGAGAGCCAACCTACATCTAGATAGGTTCAAAATGTCCCAGGCAACTAGGCGGACTAGAGCAGTGGTAAATAACTATGGTGGTTTTATGATCTGCAGTTTGTGGGCTGACAACCGATAAATCAGACTCATTGAACTGGCCTAATTTATATTCGTGGAGATGCTAAAGAAGGCTGAACATCATCTCGACCTAATTGCTCGACGATTTGCGGATCCCACAGTCCCCGTTACTACTACTACCGGCCCCCCGAGTTTTGCTAGTAGCGCTCCCTTCTGCAATGCTAGTGACATCCAAAGGTTTGTGCAATGGTGCTCCAAAGGCCGGCTCCATTTCAGTGGTTTCAAATTTTGTTATGAATTCCCCAATGTCTTGGGTACTACTATTCGAGTGGCGTCGAGCGTTCGTGAAAGTGTAGTCATAGTCTTGAACTTCGTCGCCAGAACGACCCCTATGATTTGCATTAGGGGGGATATTGTTTGAGAAGTCAGAAGCTTACCAGTTTCTCTTTCCCCCGCCGTTCTTCTTGGTCTTCCGGGGATCGGTGTCAACTGGCCCTGATTTGGTAAAGAACCGGGAAAGTTGCTCGTGGGATGTAGCCGATACACCATTGGCCAGGGAACGATCTCGGTCATTGGCCTTGTGAGAGCGTGTCACTGGGCCTGTTAGTATGTTCGAAGATTAGATCTGCTGCCCCGGGCATTATTCCGCGCCATTGTGGTAATATTTACTTGTCAATATTGCTCCAGGGGCTAGCGAAGAAGCTCTGCGTGATGTGTCCCCAAAACCTAAGCAACGGCCTTGTTAATGAGAGTTGCACATCGAGGGAAATGAGCAGAAGCATCTCAAGAGATTAATCGAGCAACGTGGATGAAAAACAAGGTCAGGGAGCTTCTTGATCAATCGATTGGCAGGGAGAGCCAGCTAAAGAGACGACATTTTCGTGCATGCCTTGGCGGGAGACACCGGGTACCTACAAGTGTACAAAGTGTGGGGTATGAGGAGTGGATTGAATTCTTGGGTCGTATGCACGTCTTCATTTTAAGAATCAGAACAAATGAAATCCAATCAGTAAATCAATGAGTAGCTCCGCGCTGCTGAGGAGTAGCCAATGCCCTACAATGGCATATCGACAAAATCCGGTTATTACTGATCAGGTATTGAAGGGCCACGAGTGAGGACATAATTTGTAGAACAGAGACTGAGGTGCTTATGTGAAAGATATAATTTATACTCACAATGTCCGCTAGTAGCCGGGGTATTGGGAATAGTAACAGCTTTCCACGAGTATGAAAGCAAGGTGGATGGAATGGTTAAAGGCTGCGGCATCGATTTCTTTATCAGTAAGCTGCAGGTGACATCATGCGGGCAAGGACTGCGGGGTAGGACCTGGCCCGGCCTTGCGGTAAGCTCACTAGTACCTAAGGCCTGGGCTCAAGATGGGGTTGACTACAACAGACGCATTTGAACCGTTATTCGCGACTATTTATATCTAGAGAGCCAATGCTTACCTTTATTTAACTGCGTACAGTAACTTCAGCCTCAATGATTACCGCGGAGCGCCCGCTCTGTCAGGTTACCATCAAAAGTACCAGTCTTCCTATGCTATGAAATGATGATCACGTTACGCATAATGTCATGAGCCATAACGATATTCAGTAGGTATAGCCGGTTAATGCAGGTCGTCCATAATGTCCTCATCACCATGAATATGATCGGCTTCATTTTCAGCAACAAATGAAACCCTCGCCGGGGTATCAGCACTTCTTTGATTCTTATGCAAGAATTGGAAAAACTCGTTGCTAAAGCCTAGCTCTGCTTTGCCATGGTCAATTCCACCCGCAATAGTTTTCACCAAGTGGCTTTCCCATCTTAACTTTGCCTGTAGATGGCGTTCCCAGTAGAGAGACTGCCCCCTCTTGGAGGCAAAACGAAGCATCGTGGGGTTTGACTGGTCTCTGAGATGAACCAGGACGGCACCGACACGCCCCGACATCACAAGTGATGCCACGTAGTTCTCGGTTTCCCTTGAGGAAAGCTTCCCAGTGCTAAATCGATGCCAGGCTACATCGGACATCTTGAGAGCAGAAAACGTTCTGCCTAATTTCAGAATTATAAATTCATCAAAGGCGGAAACCAGCTGTGCTACAAGACCCGTATTGTTGTCCTAAAAACTGTTTAGCATGTTGACGGTTTTTCCGCCAACCTGTTTCTACTAGACGGAATAGAGAGAACGTACTATTTGCCAAATGGAGCGACCCAGTTCGACTTCTCTGGAGAGTTTTTCAAAATCACACTTTTCGAAGGCTTCCGCCAACGACATGTATGGCTTGGCCAGGGCTTCGTAAACTCTCATCACGTGTGAAGAGGCTACTGATGGGGCTGATGCCAGCTGAAGTGATAAACCATGATTAGTCAATGACAACAAAAAAGACTGCTTAGATGATACCTTTCCATTTGCCAGCAAATTAACTAGAAGCCATTTCTTGTATGCCTCCACCATGATCTTGCTAACGGGTCCTGTGACAGGAGAGGAAATGACTATACTCAACCAGTGAATCGCCTTGTCCCAATCTTTGAGTACAATATATACCATAGCGCCATAGAGGAAATAACTCAGGTGGTCTCGATATGCCAGCTTGGCCGAAAACCCGGATGCTTCGGAGATGAAGGCTGTATTTTGCTCGTGCTCCGTGCAGAGAATCAAATGGCGGTACTGCTGATAGCCTTGGTTGGAGGGATTGGGAAAATGACACACTTGTCGATCAAGGATCGGTAGCGCATGCGTGTACATTTTCGCAAGAAGAGATAGTCTAACAAACAAAAGATGGACTGATGTGAATGTATTGGATATACCAAGCCGGGAAATGGAGTCTCTGATGACCAACACGGCGAAATGTGGCTTTATGAAGTCAGTAGCCGCAAGTCAATTACATCCACAACCTACCTACCTTGGATTGTACCTCTGCGGCTTCGGCGACGAGCTCGATAAGCTGGCGCCACTCCAGGCCCGCATAGCGGATTTGGATGGGATCAAAGTGTCGTAAGAAATGAACGGCATTCAACCATAGCGTACCGCCAGGCAAGAGTTCGCTAGGTATAATTGTTTTGGTCTTTCTTTGAATCGATTGCACGTGCAAGTGGAGGACGCATAGGTAAGACAAGCTATGCTGGGAAGGGTCCAAGTTCTGAAAACCAGATAAGCCCACAATTCCCCCATGGTATACAATTCTTTTTCTTCTTCTTTTCGTTGCATTGGCCTGGAGGGGCAGCTTACATTCAAGATATAGTCACTGGACGATGCGATAGCAGATGTGTTGCTGGGGTGCTTGAGAAATGTAATCAGATCATTTATTTGGTTGTTCCGAGCTTTCTCGCTGCTAGCTAAGGTGTGAGAATGCGATGACACGGATGTCAGTCGGGTGAGAAGTTCGGCCATCCTTTTTATGTGTTACTTGATTGAGTATCTGTTTGCTTGGGAAGGCTAGTGTGGGAAAAGATTCTAGGAATTAGGCAGCTTGGGGGGTGTGATGATAATGGATGATAGAGTGCTAACGTAATCCACGGCCGAGCCGTCCACACGGTCGTCCCGTCCACTTTCCCCGCAACTTCCCAATAATCATATTTCAATATTTCAACGCGTCATTTAATCACCACCATTTCTCAAAATGCCATTATCTCAAGAAAATCGAATTCAAATGGCAATCATTGCGTACAATAACAAAAAAATTCGTTCAAAATCAAAGGCTGCAGCAGTATTTGGAGTGCCAAAGACCACATTCCTTGATCGGCTCAATGGAATTCAATCACGATCAGAAACACGCGCTAGTGGCCATAAATTATCAGCTCTTGAAGAAGAAGTCCTTGTTAAGGGACTGCTAGATGCAGATAAACGAGGCTTTTCAATTCGACCCTGATTCCTACGTGGAATGGCGCAGACTCTACTTCGCGAGTATACACAAGATCCGACTGCAGTTCTTAGAGTCAACTGGGCCTATTCATTTATTAAACGCCGCCCTGAGCTACGTACAAGATACAATCGAAGAATTTCATATCAGCGGGCAAATCAAGGGGATCCAAAGATAATAAAGCCATGGTTTGAGACTATACGCGAAGCTATTCAAGAACATGGCATACATGAAGATGATATCTGGAACTTTGATGAGACTGGCTTTGCAATAGGATTCTGTACAACCTCTAAGGTTATTACTGCAGTGGAGCGCAGTGAAAGACCTCGAAGAGTCATCCAAAGCAATCGCGAATGGGTGACAATTATTGAATGTGTGAGTTCTAAGGGAATTGCTATATTACCAGTGGTTATCTTAAAAGGGAAAGAATACCAGGCTCCGTAGTATCAAGAATCTAATCTTTCTCTAGATTGGAGGCTTACCAACAGTACCAATGGCTGGACAACAGACGAAATAGGCCTAAAGTGGTTAACGCAAGTGTTTAATCCTTTTTCTAAGTTCCATTCAACTGGTGCAAAACGGTTGCTTATTCTTGACGGTCATTCAAGTCATTAATCTGCAAAATTTGATACTTTCTGAAGAGAGAATGCAATTATCTGTCTTTGTACGCCGCCTCCGCATACATCTTATCTTTTTCAGCCACTTGATGTTGGTATTTTTGGATCGCTTAAATGCGCATACGGAAAACTAGTTGAAGAGATAATAGCGGCTGGAAATAACCATATTAACAAGGGAGATTTTCTATACCTATATCCTTCTGCACGTGAAGAAGTCTTTACTCAAAAAAATATATGCAATGATTTTGCAGGACCAGGTCTTAAATTACTTGATCAAGACTGAGTTCTTGAAAAAATTACCTTTTAACTTTGCACATTAATACTACCATTACTTACTGAAAGCTCAATATCATCAGCTTTTCAAACACCTCAGAACCCTCGCCAGATTGGTCGTAAGGTTCAAAGGCTACAAATAAGTCTTCAAAAGAAAAGAACACTTTCTAGCAGTCTAGCCTCTCATATTCAACATCTTGAAAAAGCTGCGCAAATGGGAATAAATACGAACCTTCTTCTTCAACAAGAAATAAAGGTTTTACGAACTGAAAATGAGCTAAAAATAAAGAAAAAAGCAAGGAAACGCACGTCTCTAGGAAATGATCTCTTTATATCTGTACAGGAAGGCCGTGACCGCACTCAGCAGCTTGATACGCAGCTTAATGAGCAGGTTGATAAGTCTACACCTGTATCTCGCCAACGCGCTCCACCGCGCTGCAGTGGCTGTGGGACAGTTAGACATACAATACGAAGCTGCCCTAGTAAATAGCTATTCATTTTATATTTCATACAGTCTAATTCAATAATGTTATTAGTCGTAGAACTTCAAATTCATGATGGTTGCGGGGAAAGTGGACGGGACGACCGTGTGGACGGCTCGGCCGTGGATTACGTTAACTAATGTTGTTGAGGACTGAGGTAACTAAACACTACTTTGTGACAACAGCAAGAGTCCGGTAGGTTTACGTAGGTATGTATGCATAAAGAAAAACATCTCCTATAAATTGGTCTCCGTGGCGCAATTGGTTAGCGCGTTCGACTGTTAATCGAGAGGTTGTCAGTTCAATCCTGACCGGGGACGTTCTTTTTGCTCCATACCCAGTCTGTATGGGAAGAGATAATTTTTTTAATATATATATATATATATTGAGATTTGACACAATTCTGGTACAGTTAATCTCTGTAAGGCACTTAGTTATGTACTGTCTTGTCTGTCTATCTAATTAATGCCTTTTCTAGCAATTCATTTATTAAAGAAACTAGCGGGAAGTTAGTTAGTTACATCTACTATATTATAAATTAGCCAAAAACTACTATAGAGTAAGGTACGTACCAAATATATTATTATTAACTTAATATTAGAGTTTTCTTTAATAGTTTAACTAGTTAACTGTAGTCTCTCATCTAAAGCTTTTAGATTATTTACCGGCGAAAGGACTACCCACCAGCGAAAAAACAGTAAGTAATTTAAAGGTTTTAAACAGGAAACTATAGCTAGTAATTAAACAGTTTTAAACAATAAAAATGTATTTACTAATATAACAAAAGTGATAGTTATATATTTAATTATTATTATTAATTAGTTTAGTAATTAGTTCTAGTCAGCTATTACAATAATTTAACTTTTTTATAATTAAATTATTTTGATTTATGTTGAGATACTTTCTCTAATATCTGTAACAATCTATAAAGGAATTTACTAAAAGATAAATTTATTTAATATAATAAAATAATAAAATAAATGTAATAACAAGCTAGTATAGCAGTGATAAATACTATTACTAAAATTATATAAATTTAAAATCTATATATATAGTAGGATTAGCAGCCTTTTTATACTATATAAAAAATATTAAAATAAGATTTCCTGATATATCTAAAGTATAGTAGAAAAAAGAAAAATCTTAAATATATTATTATATTCTATATAGTATATTATAAAAATAGATATAATTTAAAAATGCAAAAATATATATGTTAAATAGCTATTTATTATCTTTTAAAAAGTATAAAAAATAATAAGATAATAAATATAACAGTCTATAAAAAAATTTAATAAAAGATAAATTTGTTTCTGACTTATAATCAAGAATTTTCTTATAGAAAAGGCAATCTGAAAAAAAGAATTTATAATTTTTATATACTGTTTAAGACTTTGCTTCAAGCAGAAATGGTTACAGAATATCTAAAAAGATTTTTAAATACTTATTTTACTAGACCGTTTTTCTATACGGGGAAGTTCCCTGATTTCAGGAGATTACAGTAAATAGATACATAAAGAAGTAATCAATCAATTTTAACTAATAAATTAATTAAAAATTAGTGAGGTTAGTACTAGTAAAGAGTGTTAAAGGTATATACAAAAACTAAAAAATGAGAGATATACCACTAAAGTAAAAATATTTCTTATTTAATAATGTTTTTAACTCTGTACAGTTTTTCCTTTCAGACAGTGAGATAGATCAGATAGTTATTAACTTAACAGAATAATAATAATAATAATAATAATATAATAAGGTGATTTTTTTGTTTCTAATACTTAATATATATTTTGAGAACAGTAAAGTATATTTTTTATATATATTAAATATTATTTAAATATCTTATTTTATTAATTTTTAAGGCTGTTATATAGCGTGTTTGACCTTAAATAGCTATACTACTATAATTAGACATTTTTTATCATTATGAAGCCTACAAATTTATTTTAGTATTATAACTAGACAGTTATAAATAAGGATTCAAAGTTATATTTTTATAATTGATTAAAAAAAAATTATATCCAATAATATATTTAAATTAAATAATTTTTTATAATCGTTAAAAATATTATTTAAATATATATATATATATTAAATTACTGAATGCAATTATTATTTTTTAAAGGCTTTTTTGTAGCCTTTAAATCTTACAACTAATATAGTGAGAGTTCTGAGATATTTAAAAAGTTAACAAGTGATTTTTCTTAAAACTTAATCTTAAATAAAAAGCTTAAAATTAGCTCTTACAAAATCATTATATAAATTTTTTGAAATAAAGACTATTTCACGTATAGAAAAATATAGATATTAAAAATCCTATTTATTAATATAGTCATTTTTAGCTTTTATTATATTTTAAACTAATTTACTATACTTATATTTAAGCAGTTCAAAAATATTAACATCTAGTAAATAAAAAAGATAATATATGTAGAGATATAAGGAAAGATAATTGTATTCTCTATGTAAAAATTATTGAATTCAGCATTTTGATACCTTGAATAGCTATTAAGAATAAGTAATCATTTTACGTCAATTATGTAACGTTTTAAATAAGGTTCAAATATCTCTCTTAGCTATTTGCGCCATTAGTAAGTCCCTAGTCTTAAAAAAAAATTAAACTCTTGATATTAAAGAGCCTAATATTCTTTTTCTTTCAAGATAATTACTGGCAGAATAGAAATTTATTTAAAGCTTACATACTTAATGATTGTAATCTATTTATAATATTTTTTTCAAATAATTGTGTAAAATTATTCACTTCTCTTTACTGTAATAATAATTCTGGAGATTATATAGAGTCCCATTACAGAGCTAATTTTATTAAAATTCTAGATTTTATTTTTTATAAATGTTATATTCTTGAATAGCTTTGTATACAGTCTCAAACTATAATTTTATTATTTTTAGATTTTCTTATTTTATCTGATAATATATTATTTTTCGATTGTATCTTGAACTTAATTTAAAATGGCATTTAACAAAGAAATAAATCTAGTTAATTTTAAGGATTGCAATAATTGCATATACGTTCTTGAAACAAAATTTATACCATTTTACGTAGATACTTTAGCTGAATTTAAAAAAAATCATTTATTTGTATTAAGCAGTTACCTCAATAAAAATATTTTTTAAAATCTGTTAATTTATAGTTATTAA